AGGGGTCCACGATTATCTTCTGTGTCTGTGTTAATTGGTTTCCCTTTTCTTTGTTGAAGAGGGTCTGTGCAATCCTTCTGCCTAGTCCGCCATCTTGCCGGAACCCCTCTCAACCCCGGTTTTTAAATCTTAGCCACATCTCTTATATCAGAAATTTTTATTTTATTCCATTGATAATGATTTTAATATGGATTTTATATGAAATATGTCTATGAACTATGTCTACATTCATATCTTGAAGCAATCTTCCTATATCCCAACTGGCCAGAGCTTCTCTTCAAGCTAATGGCTTTCCTAAAGAAGGCAGGTGACCACCATTAGTCCATCTGTCCATCCACCCATCTATATCTCCATCTGTCCACCCACCTATCTATCAGTCTATCCATCCATCTAGTATTAGCTGAACACCTACTACCACATAAAAGACACACGTAAAATAAATATTACTGTTGTGATGTGACTTAATTCCTAGGACTCTGGCTACATTGTTTTAGTGTTTAAATTTTTTTTCCCTGGTAATTATGCTTCTCATGAGGTGAGGACAAGAAGAGGCTGGTGAGGGCAGGGGTGGCATAGAAAAGAAGATCAAAGCCACTCAAGAGATTTCCTGTCAGACACTTTCTCTTGACAGAAATCAGGATATTATTTAACAGATCCTGGGCTATTGCTTGCTTGCTTTCTCAGTTTGTTCAAAAAGCAACACACAGCTCCTTGGATAGTATCTGGGAGAGACTGCAGAAGTAATCAGGATTGTAGAATCTTGTTTCACAAAGAGAAGGCAAGAATTATCTTAGATTTCACACAACTTTAGTATTTTAATTCTGTAAGCTATGGTTAATACACAGAACTTAGTTGTAACATTAACAGAAATCTTTTCAATTTCCATAGTGTTTTAAAAAATATTTCTTTGTTCTGTAACATTTTTCTTGCTGTTATACTTCCTGTTGGTTCTGGTTACCTAGTGCCACTCTGACAAGAATGTACCACAATTGGGATGGTTTGAACAGACAGGAGTTTATTCTCTCACAGTTTGGAGACTTCAAGTCCAAGTTCAAAGTGCCAGGCTCTAGGGGCTGTGTGAAAGCCCCTCAACCTTAGGCTTCAGCTCTGCCTCTTGCTCCCAGCCCACTGAATCTAGAAGCATCTCTTTATTCAGGCAGCTACTGGCTGCTGAAGCTAACAAGCCCAAGCTCGACAAACAAAATGGCACAATACTGATGTTACCAAACCACATGGCAGGCCATTAATTCAAGTCCATTGTAAGTCCCAAGGTCAGCAGAGCATGGCAGGCTGCTGAACACAGCTACATGCAGAATCCAAGCATGCCATAAGCTAGAGATCATTTCCAAAGCTGTTTCTTATATATGGGAAGCAGACCACATACCCAATGGCAGCTACTCAGCTGCTCACAGTAGATCCCACCATGAAGTTGATTGCCAGTCTCATCATGGGGAACACTATATCCAGCTGCCCAGCCACTCAACCAGGCCTAGCCAAGTTGACACACAAATGTAACCGCCACACCAGTCCTTTTCTTCATTGACCAGGTACCACCAAGTCAGCTCGGACTTAGGTCAACCCCATGTGTAGAACCAGCCTCCATAGATTTTCAGTGGCTGATTTGTCGCAAGTAAGCCACCAGGCCTTTCTTCCAAAGCACCTCTGGGTAGATTAGAGCTTTCAACCTTTTGGTTGGCAGTGAAGCACCTTAACTGTTTGCATCACCCAGTGACTCCATTTTTCTCATTAGAAGCCTCTTTTCCCATGTTTTTTTTTTTTTTTTTTTTCTCAGCCCATTTTGGATTTTTACTTTTTCTCATAGTATTCCCTTTTTTCTGAGATCCAAAGCATGCCTAGGGCAGGGCTTCTGTCTGCCTTTGCTTCCTCCAAGGAAACTTGGACACCACTATGGACCTTTGGAAGCAGTAGTGGAGCCCTGCAAAGCTCACCCTCCCCATCCCCAACCAGGACAGTTCTGTCCTTGTCTTGTCCCTGAAGTCCCCCCATTTATTAACCTTCTCTCTGTGGTTGTCTTCTCTGGCCTCTCTGCTGACTTCCTACTAGAAGGCATTCCCACCAAGAACTGGATTCAATACACATCCACCCTCCTCTCCTTTAACCTAATGCATAAGACCTCCTAAAAATATACCTGCTTTCCACTCACAGCAGTTCTTTCACTCAGGTCAAGTGAATTAGCACTTTGCATTCAGTGAGCTCCCTCAGCTGTGCTGGTGTTTTAGTTAATGTGCCAATGCCATGGGCATTTATAGCATGAAGCTGTGTGCAAGCAAAATAAAAATAAATGGAGAGGCTCTCTGAGAGCTCCTGGAAACATTTTTGAATTTTTTTTTTTAAATACATTGTGCTTGTTATTGGTTTTATAGAATTTTTATAAAGTGTGTAGGAGTGCAGCAGGTCCTAGAGGTCTGAATGCCAGTTAGCACTTTTGCCCAAAATGCTCAGGGTGATCTCCAGCTTACCTGTGTTCAGTGCCCACACCCCTTACCACAGCACCCACCTGTGTACTTAGCACTTTCACAGGCTTGAAGCCCCTACTCAAAGCCAGAGATGCCCAAATCTTGATCTCCAGCCCACACTGTAAACTTTCATCTCAAAACATCTGCCCAGATGCCACAAAGGCACTTTAGAATCAACGCCAAGTAAAGGAACTCCCCACCTCTCATCCTGTCTGCTTGCCATCCGAGCGGGAACCTGGCACTCCTTCTCGAATCGCCCATCTGCCCGAGCACACACAGCCTGGCCTCCTCTTTTGAAACTCCTACCACCATTCTCCTTCTGGCTCTCAGTTTTCTCTCTATTGGACTAGTGTACCTACCACCTTCTTGATTCATCTCCTTCCCTGCCACACAACCTATCCTCTCAACCCACCATTTATATTACTGCATGAGTTATTTATTTTACAACACAAAACTGATTGTACTCAAAACCCTCATTGATTCCCTATTATTTGGAGAATATAGTCCAAACTCTAAACCTGACAGAAGAAAGCCTTCGCATTCTAGCCCCAGGCAGGCTTTCCAGACCTTTCCCCCAAATCGTTTACATTCTACTCTGGGCTCCAGCCACATCAAGGTCTGACAATGCTGCCTTTACTTGAGTGCAGGCATTTCTTTACTTATTCTTTTGTTTTTCTATTCAACAAACATTTATTGAGCACCTAATATATATGGTAGGCCTCAAGGATGTAGAGTAGAGCATGATGGAGTCTTGCTTTCAGAATCCAGTAAGGGTGTACACATGTATTAAAATTGCAGCAATTCACACACATACACACATGTAAGTGCACGTATAACTGGTGAGATCTGAAAAAGTTCTCTGGTTTGTACCAATGTCAATTGCCTGGTTTTGCTTCTGTACTGTAGTTAAGTAAGACATTGGATGAGGCTTGGTGAAGGGAGTGTAGAACCTCCCTGTATACCGTTTTGCAGCTTCCTGTGACTCTTTTCATTATTTCAAAATAAAAATAAACCCAATACGGAAAACCATGTGGTAAGAGCTAATGTGGACAGAAGTAAGCAGGAGGAGGCTAGAGGAGTCCCTAACTCAGCCTGAATAGCAGGAAAGGTCTCCTAGAGCTAATCCTGAGGAAGGGGGCAGGACTAGGACTGGGCTCAGGGCTCCGAAGCAAAGGAGCATCATGTGCCGAGACTCCAGGGTGGGAGAACCAGGCACGTTCAAGGAATTGCAAGTTGTTACATGTGTGGCCTGTGTTGGCACTGGAGAGGCAGGAAGGGACCATATCCTAGAAGGTCCTTTATGTCTTACCACAGACTCTGGAAGTTTTCCTGAAATGGTGGAAAGCCCTTGCAGTATCGCAAGCAAGAAGATCATGTGTTTAGTTGCATTCTGAAGTTCATTTTGGCAGAATGATATATTGGAGGGTAAAGAGTGGCTGTACTCCTTTAATACTCTGTTACCAATGGAGACGTGGTTACAGTGAGACATGATGCAAGGGCAGAATGAGGGGCAGTGACCATGGGGATGGAAAGAGAACTGATGCAACATTTTCAGGAAGTAGCATTGATAGGATTTGATGGAAGATTCAGAAGAGGAAGGAATCCAGAAAGGTCGCAGGTTGTTCTGTCTGCAGTAACTGGTTGGTGGTGGCCTCAATTCCCAGGTTAGGAAATAAGTGTTATGGACCTATTTGAGACGGAGGATGTTGAATTTGGGTTTGGACACACTGTGACTGAAGAGCTTGTGGAGTGTTTGAGCAGAGATGTTGCAGAGATTTGGCTACACTGGTATATAGGACTATTGTCAGGATTAGAAATCTACACTTGGATAATAATGGATATTATTAACACACACAGATAGATAGCAAGCATACTACCAGGAAGTAATTGTAGAATAAGACTTGAAGACAATTACTGCTATATTGGGGTTCTGAGATTTCAAGACCCTTACCTTGATATTCGTCCCCACCTGCCTAAACCAAAACCAAACTCACTGCCGTTGAGTAGATCTGACTCATAGGGACCACTCCTTGTGTTTCTGAGGCAGACTCTCTATGGAAGTAGATCGCCCAACCTTCCTTTGGAGGAGTGGCTGGTGAGTTTGAACCTCCAGCCTTCTGGTTAGCATTCAAATGCCTTAGGCACTATGCCACTAATTCCTCCTTTAATACTCTTTTATCAAACATTTTACCCTGTATCTCCCTCCACAGGAGCTCTGGTGGCATGGTGCCTAAGGCATTTGATTGCTAACCAGAAAAGCTTGGCAGTTCAAACCCACCAGCCACTCCTTGGAAGGAAGATGGGGCAATCAGTTTCCATAGTGATTTATCTGCCTCCACTAGTATTCCAATAGAATAGGGACCATGTCTTATTCTCACCCATCTCCTTGGAATCTAGCAGAGTAGGTGATTCACAGTAGATACTCAGTTATTGCATGAGCTAATTGGGTGAGTTAAACAGAAAATAGTGAGGCAGTTTGCAATATTATTTTTGCTATATAACGTTTATTGGATGGTCCTGGTCAGCTTATTATATAATAAGACATTTAGAAGAAAAGCATAGACCCTGCCCTTCAGGAACTCCATTCATGAAATTTCCCTTAGTATTATCAATCTCAGTTTTAAAAGTATATTTATAACTATAATATTACATATACACATCACATATTTTATAATTCGTATGTATTTTAAACTTCTCAATCCTTTAATAGAGCTTTCCATTTCATTCTGAGAACTTTATTTAAATAATAAAACCTAAAGTGATTTTCATTTCCTAGCCAAACCTGGGGAGCTATGGTAGCATAGTGCCTAAGGCACTTGACTGCTAACCAGAAGGCTGGTGGTTCAAACCCACCAGCCACTCCTCGGAAGGAAGGTTGGGCAATCTACTTCCGTATTGATACTGCCTCGGAAACCCAAGGAGGAGTCGCTATGAGTCGGGTCCGACTCGAGGGCACATAACAACAGCAGCAGCCAAACCTGAATGGAACACATGAATTTTCAATTCAGCTAAACAGGATTTCTCCCTCCCTGACCTTTTTGTGCTCTTAAGCAACTGGCTGTTCACCTGTGGAAGCACAATGAGGCTTTGGAGGGACTGGAGAATGGAATCAAGAGCTCCCGGCGGCTGGAGAACTTGTGTAGAGACTTCGAGCTACAGAAGGTGTGTTACTTGCCACTCAACACCTTCCTCCTGCGGCCACTGCATCGGCTTATGCACTACAAGCAGATCCTGGAGCGGCTGTGCAAGCACCATTCCCCAAACCATGCCGACTTCAGGGACTGCCGAGGTGAGCACGAGCGGTTCTGTTGGAGCCACCAGGCCTCCATCACCTTGTGCAGGGTTCTAGCTCAGTGGGCAGTACCAGAGTGTCTGCTGCAGGGAAGGGCCACCTCAGGGAAACAGGTCTACTGTGTGTCCCAAGTATTCATGGTTACACAGGGCAAGCAATGCTTTTTAGTATCTGATTAAATATTTTCTGTTAAATATCTTTCTGCAAAGAATGTAATAATGATCATTATGATCTCTTTTTCCTTTGTCCTTCTGTATGCATTTTCTCCTCTGATCCCAATGTAAAGATCCCTGGAGAAGTACCACTCAGATATAGCCCCTTCCTAGAAGTTTTCCTCTGCCTGTGCAGTTGAAACTCATTGTTCCTTCCTCAAATTTGCCACTGCCTATGGCTCGTAACACTACTGTTCATTGCTACTGACATTTGTTGTAAACCAAACCAACACACAGAACCCATTGCCACTGAGTCAATTCCAACTCATGGCGACCCTTGTGTTATGGAGTAGAACTGCCTCAGAGGGTTCTCTTAACTGTAATCGTTACAGAAGCAGATCACCAGGCCTCTCTTCTTTGGCACTGCTGGGTGGGTATGACCTGCCAACCTTTGGACTAGTAGTTAAGCGCAAGCCATTTACACCACCCGGGGACCTTTTATAATATACAAGTCACCTTAATAAGCACTTTGCCTGTGCTATCTCTTTCAGTCTTCATGACAGACCATTTTCCATATGGGAAATACTGACACCAGAGAGGTTAAGTAACCTTCCCAGAGTCACACAGCTGAGAAGTAAAAACTTTGAAACCACCACTCAGCACCCATGTTTTTAGCTATTCTGCTCTAGAATATCATGCTAATATTAACCACTCTTACTTGTTCAGCACCTACAATGGTCCAGGGACTGCATATCTCACTAACATTAACATTATACCTTGAACAGTTCCATGACTTAAGGTTATTATCCCATTTAACAGATAAAGAAGCTGAGGCTCAGAAGAGGGGAAAGGACCTGCCAGTGTCACTAAATTAGTGAAAGGTCAAAGCTGGTGTTCCAGACCATGCTTTTCAACTGTGTCATGCATCTTCTTTCTGAACTTAAGTTGTACTGTCTCATGTTATATGTGGTCTGTTAATGTCTACTCTCTTGGGCTTAGACCATAGGCCCTTTGAGGGCAGGGCCCTGAGGCCTGTTGCTAAGTTTCTCATGTTCTCTACCAGGGCTGTACATAGAATGTCCCACTGTAGATGTTTCTTGTACAGATTGCATGAATTTTCACTCTCACTAGCATGTCAAGGCCCTTATCTTTCGGATAAAGTATTTAAACATCTCTTATCTCTCAGTCCACTGGGGTTATTATTTAAAAATACCTCTCTCACTATGGTTAAAACTTGGGTAGTACCTGATTCACTCAGGGTAAAATCTAAACTCCTCACGGTCTGGCCCTCACTAATTTTCTCCTATACCAAAGTTGTACTGAGCAATGGCTGTTGCTAGGAATACCAGAGACAGTGGAATGGATGTGGCCCCAGCCCTCATAGAACCCACGTTCTCATGGACAGGAGAGTCAGGGCAGTGCCTGACACTGTGATAGAGCTGTGAGTGGGAAGCACACAGTGTGAGAGGAGCCCAAGGTGGGGCATCAGACTCAGCCTTGGAGACCTAGAGAGGGGGCCTTCTGAGGGCAAGGCTGTCTAAATTTAGAGCTAAAATGTAAAAACAGTAGTTTTCCTCCTTGAGGGGAGGGTATAAAGAATTGGGTACAGCATGTACACAGGTTCAAAAGTGGCAGAGACTGTGGAACATTCCAGAAACTGAAAGAAGTTCCATGTGGCTATAGTCTACAACACAGAGCAATGAGGCCAAATGATGAGGCTGGAAAAGTAAACTGGGACCAGATCCCAGAAGATCTTAAAACCCTGTAAGACCTAAGAGCGAAGGGAAGACAGGAAAGGTTTTAAGGAGAGCAATGGTAAGATCAGGCTTGTTCTAGAAAGTTCCCTCTATTAGTCTCTACAACATATAAAGGACTTCTACACGTTAAATTTTAAAAAAGCAGCCCAAGGAAAATTTGGCAAAGTAATTAAAACATTGGCAGTTCATGGAAGTAGAACAGAGATGTCTAATAACCTGGACAGCTGTGGGCCATCCATCTTTAAAACAAAACATGCTATTTCATGCCTCCATCTCTTTGTATGTTCTGTTCCTTCTACTTGGAGTCACTACCACCAATTTATTTCCTTTCCTGGCAAAGTCCTACTCATCCTTTAAGCCTCAGTATGTACCTGTTCCTTGATGTTGGCCTTGCCCACCTTGTTTTGCTGGATTAACATTGCCAGTTACCACCAGTTGGCCAGGCCTGGGCAAGATGACCCAAGGCTCCTCCCAGCTCTGAGCACTCTGTACAGATATATTACCCTTGAGGGTGAAGGAAATTTGTGGTTTTGTGTGTACTGTTCTTGGCAGATTTGCCAAGTTTTCTTTTTACTATTTTTCTAAGCAGTCTCCAATGAAATAGTCTATCATTGATAATTAAATGGAAAATTGTATTTAATTGCTTTGTTACCTAGCTTAAACATCAGGTGGCATCATTGTAGAAAGGTTGGAGAAGGCAAGTTGTGTCTGAATATATATCCCCTAGATGTGAGGGCTGCAGGTGCCAACAGCTACTCCAAGGATGCCCTGCCTGATGAGCACCTAGGGGGCAGGGTCCCATCTTTTTTATCTTAGAACTTCCTCACTCCCACTCACTCAGCATCTGGTGCCCAATCAAAGCGCATTGAATCCAGTCGGGTGATAATGTCAGAAGACTGAGCAAGCCCTAGGGTTTATCATGGCTCAGATAAAACGTTCTAGGATAAACCTAAGCTGGAACCCTTTAATTTGCATTCCCAGGGAGAAAGCAAGAAAACAAAATGTTTCACTTCCAAGGCTGGAGGGAGGGAGGACATTTAGTGTCCTGAAGATTAAAGTTCAGTCTGCAAGTATTTCTTGCTTTCTTGGCAAAAATACACAAATGCTTGAGGGGTGGGGAATTGAGTTTAAGTTATGGTGGTAAAATATTCTGCAAAAGGATCGGGATAATGGTGACTAAGCATGAAAAATATAATCAATGTCACTGAACAGTAAATGTGGAAGTTGTGCTGGCAGATGGTTTAGTGTGTATATTTGCACCACAATTTAAAAAAAAAAAAAAAAGTACACAAATGCTCAGCTGCTATGGCTTTGAGTGCCCCCCCCCCAACTTACATTAACTAGACATTAGCTCCTTTTACATAGTGGATACCATCTCAGGCTTACTGCTTGAGAGAGATGTGTCTGTATTTGAAAATAAGATTTAATTTTGTAGCTACTCTTTGCAACCATCTTGGTAAACAGAACAATACCAGCAGAAAGAAGAAAAGGGTGTGCTGGAATGGTAGTTACCCAAAGGTGTTGCCAGTATCAATTCGACCTTCTCACAGAATGCCCCCTACTTTATCCCAGGCCTCCTGTGGCATCTTTGTGCTCCTGTGCTGAGTTCTTTCCAGGTAACAGGAGGGAGAAGGAAAATCCCCGCCCTGAGAATAAAAATCAAGGCACTCTTACTCCCCTGCCTCTTGTGCCAACAAATTATTCTAATTAAAGGACAACTGTATGCCACATAGCTATAAATGGGTCATTTACATTTGCCAGATGCCTTTGGGAAACTAAAGTAAAGCAAATGCATACATAAAGTCAGTCACTCAGTTTTTATTACAGAGATACAGTGATGCTTTTCCTAGATGCACAGCTTCTAACAGTGAGACTACTATAGGGTATTATCCTTAAGAGTTGAGCTTAAAGATGTTGGGGGAAAGGACCTTCATCTGCCATTAATGCTGCTGCTTCTGTCTTTTCCTTCATTAGCTGCTTTGGCAGAGATTACTGAAATGGTGGCACAGCTTCACGGTACGATGATCAAAATGGAGAATTTCCAGAAGCTGCACGAGCTCAAGAAAGATTTGATTGGCATCGACAATCTTGTGATTCCAGGAAGGGTAAGCGGCAGGGGTCTCCCTGTGCCTTTGAGGTGGAGCCAGAAAGGAGACATTTAATTGACTGAAATTTGAGCCTTTGAATATTAACACTCCCAAGTCAAGATATCCTCATTCAGAAGTGTCTTCCTTCCACGTGTGAGACAATTGGGAAAATGCCTTGAACATTACTGTGTTGTTAAAAATTATTATGTCAGAAGGAGATAGACTAATCCTATGCTCTCAAGTTGTTTTCCTCCTTACTGGTTGATTTGCTTGTTTACTTTTTCCCTACCATATTCCAGAGAGGATTTGAGGTAGCTTATGATTGTTTTATGTTTGTTTTAATTTGGTAAGTGGAAGATAAAGGCGCTCTGGTAGCATAATGCCTAAGGCACTTAACTGCTAACTAGTAGGCTGGCGATTCAAATCCACTAGCCACTCCTCTTGGAAGGAAGGTTGGACAATCTACTTCCGTAGTGATACCGCCTTGGAAACCCAAGGAAGGGTCGCTATGAGTCGGGTTTAACTCAACGGCACATAACAACAATAAGTGGAAGATAAAGTTTAAAAGAAAAAAAAAAGTGTAAAATAGTGATATATAGCCAGAGAAAAAGTCAGTGCATGAAAATATGCTGTAAATTCCCATGCAAGTATTAAAAGTATTTTTTTAAGATGCAATTTTCTATAAATAATTTAATTTTAACATTTTAGCCAGAAAACAATTCTGGGAGTGGTGTAAGTTCATTTATACTATTAACTTTCACCTAGCCAGCACCCTTCAGAACATGCAGGTCATTCACAATAAAAAAGGGCCTCATTATAAAAACATGCTCCTTTCAGGCTGGTGGGACTATAACAATACAGCATGTGTTGTTGTTGTTATGTGCCATCAAGTCAGCCCCGACTCATAGCGACCTCTCCTTGGGTTTTTCAGTTCCCTTCCTAGGAAGCTGTCACTGCCCAGGAATCAAGAATGTTATTCAGTGCCTGCTTCTCTTCAAATCGCTCCATAGGCTCTTTCACCCTGATAACTATTTCAAACCATGCATCATCTGGGTTTATATGATAATTTCAACCCCTCCTATCGCCTGCATAAGGAGCTCTGGTAACACAGTGCCTAAGGCATATAACTGCTAACCAGAAGGTTTGAGTTTCAAAGCTACCATCCACTCCATGCAAACAAGACTGGGCAATCTACTTCCATAAAGATTTACAACCTTGAAAACCTAGTGGGGGTCACTGTGAGTCAGAATCAACTCAATGGTGTTTTGTTTGTTTGTTTGTTTTTGGTGGGGTTTTTTTTTGGGGGGGGGAATCTCTTGCATTCCTGCTTTTCCCTTTAGACAGGTATCTTGTATTTCAGGAAATCAGTCTTATCTGACAGGTAGCTGGAAGCTCTGGTGGTGTAGTGCCTAAAGCATTTCACTGCTAACTAGAAGGCTGGCAGTTCAAACCCACCAGCCACTCCTCAGAAGGAAGACTGGGCAATCTACTTTCGTAGAGATATTGCCTCAGAAACCCAAGGAGGGATTGCTATGAGTCATAACTGACTTGAAGGCAGAGTTTTGTTTGTTCGTTCGTTTGTTTTGACAGGTAGCTGGCCTGGAAACTTTATCAACTTAGGAAAGATGAGAAATTCTCCCTATATATTTGGGTCTTTCTGTCAAAACCAAAAAACCAAGCTCACTGCCATCGAGTTGATCCCCACTCATAGCAACCTCCATTAGGTTTCCAAGGCTGTAAATCTTTATGGAAATAGATTACCCTATCTTCCTTCCACAGAGAAGGTGGTAGGTTTGAGCCACTGACCTTCTGGTTAGCAGACAAGTGCCTTATTCACTATGCCACCAGAGCTCCTTAATTTCTGTCAGGAAGGCTAATTATAAAACTGACCAGAAAACAAGTTATGGGAGATTGTCAGAAGAGTTATGTGGTAAAAGCTGGGTGGAAATTAAAGCTGGGATTTGTTTCACCTCTGAGGGTGAGAAACTTGTGCTAGGCCTCAGTGCATAACAGCCACATTTACCCATCCGTGCAGAACCCTTATAAAAGCCCTGTGGAACCAACACCATTTCCTCTTAATTTTGAATGTTATAAAATATTTAGGAGCTCTGGTAGCATAGTGCCTAAGACAGTTGACTGCTAACCAGAAGGCTGGCAGTTCAAATCCACCAGCCACTCCTCGGAAGAAAGGTCGGGCAATCTACTTCCGGAGCGTTACTGCCTCGGCAACCCAAGGAGGGGTCGCTATGAGTCGAGTCCTACTTGACGGCACATAACAACAACAACATAAAATATTTAGCATACTGTGCTACAGGATGGAGAGACCATTTGTAAAGCATTTAATATTTTTGAGGAAACGGTTCTCATGGTATAAAGGAAAGAGCATTGGATTGGAGTTTGTAGCCCTGGGTTCAAATTCTAGCACCACCAGAACTGGGATGTTTATCTACCAGAGCTTTCCTTTCCTTCTGTAACATGGTAGTCAGATTGTCTACCTCATAGGTCATAAGGATAAAATGAGATTTCATATGTAAAAATAACACCAAACAGAATCAACTCGACAGCAGTGGGTTTGGTTTGGGTGTTACTCATTTATATAGCACAGCATCGAAGATATCAATTCTGTCACCTACCAGCTGCCCAGATAGATGATCTTAGAGGTCATTGTCTTTGTTACCTAGTGCTGTCATGACAAAAAAGATCACAACTGGCTTTAAGGAGCACAAATTTATTTTCTCACCATTCTGGAGGCTACAAGTCCAAATTCAGGGTGTCAGCTGTAGGAGAAGATGCTTCTTTGTCTCTTTCAGCCCCTGATAGCTGCCAGCAATCCTCAGCATTCCTGGGCCTGTCACTTCACCTGCCTCTGTCTGTGCGTGGTCTCTTCCCCTGAGTGTCTCTGGGTCTGTTCTGCTCATTTCATAAGACACCACTCAGAAGTGACTAGGTTTCTGTCCCATCCCAATATGGCATGACCTCATTGACGTAACAAAAGAAATTCGTATTTCCAAACAGGGTCATATTTACAGGTATAAAGGTCTTCAACACATATTTTGGGGGGGTCCTAATTCAATCTATTACAGTCTTTATTATTTATGAAAGTGAAATTGGAAATGGGATGCTGGATGTTGACAGCAGCCTCACCTTCTGTCTGTATATTTTTTGTTCCATAAGCTGCCTCATATGTATGTGTTCAGTGTTTCAGGTCAACTCTGAATGAAATGAGAAGAGGAATCACACACCCTCAGAGGGAAGAATTCTAAGATAGAGCACTCCCTGCACCAAGGCTGATGGATTATCCTAAAACAAACAAACAAACAAACAAAAAGCTGCTATCAAGTTGATTCCAACTCATTGTAACTCTATAGGACATAGCAGAACTACCCCCATAGGGTTTCCAAGGCTGTAAATCTTTATGGAAGCAGACTGCCTCATCTTTCTCCTGTGGACTGGCTGGTGGGATTCACCTCAAAGGAGGTGAATCAGACTATGCCAAAGTCTACAAAATCAAAATGAGTTGGTTGAGCCCTATTCTTGCCTATGTGACAAATTATCCCAATATTTAGTGGGTGAAAACTGAAAATAACCAAACTCATTGCTGTCAAGTTGATTCTGACTCATATCAACCCTACATGTTACAAAGTAGAACTTCTCCATGGGATTGTCTGGGCTACAATTTTAGGGACAGATCACCAGGCCTTTCTCCCATGGTACCCCTGGGTGGGTTTGAATTGCCTTTAGGTTAGTGGTTGAGTGTAAACCATATGAGCCACCGAGTGACCTAGTGGCTGAAAACAACCTTTTATTATTTCTCAAGATTTTGAGAGTCAGAAATTTGGGCAAAGCTCCGTTAGATGCTCTGTGTAGAATTGACAGAGGTCCCTTAGTGTTTTTCATATGAAAAAGTTCAAGGCTGAGACTGTGGCAAAGACTGGAAGGCTGGGCCCAGCTGGGACTGTGTAGTAGGAATCCTATGAGTGGCCTCTCCAGCATGAGTCAGGCTAGTCATTACTTCTTACAGGGTGGCTCAAAAGTTCTAAAAGCAAGTGTTCCCAGGAACAGAATGCTACATGTAGTTTTCATGATCTAACCTCAGAGATCAGATAGTATCACTTCTATATTCTATTGGTCAAATCAATCATGAGCCCACCCATATCCAAAGGAAGAGGACACAGACCTCACCTGTATGATAGGAAGGGGAGAAGAACTTGCAGCCATGTTTCAGAATGCTGCTGTGGAAAACAGATGGGCAGTTCTT